CAGGGAGAAGACAAACGCTAGTAGATACGCGCAGTTCATATTGACTCATCAGTACCCAAACACTAACAAGTATTAGATTATACCGTTCAAATGCCATTAGCAGACAAACAAATGTAATGAGGTAAACGGTGGCTATGGTCCTAGGACCAAGGCAACCGAAGACCCACAACTGATTGTTTCTTCACACACAGGGCAAGTATTAGCTGGCTTAGCGCCACTGCCTCGGCAACTCGAAAGAAATGTGGCTTGGGATGAAATACTACTATCAGGAACGCAGAGCCTGCGTCATTTTGATGACGGGTCAACAAAACTTGTCTCCTTACTGATGATGCTGGCTGCTTACGTACCAAAGGAATATTGGACGATGAAGGGCTGGCCTCACGCTAAACGTGATTGGGCAAGTGATCCTTCAACCTGGAATCCAAAAGCCGTTCAGTTTCGCTTCTGTAACTGACGTCGCAGTTGCACACAAATTGATAAAGGCAGTGTGAGTTGGAGCACACGAGGTGGCATTCTCCCTGTGATATCCACGCATGTTTGACACGCCTGCTCCTGAGTCATTTAGAGTAATCCTCGATATCTACTCTCTCTCTTCTCTCGGCGTATTCATCGTACGCTCATTCGAACCGGATTTCCAATCCTAGAAAATGTTCCATCATACGTGGAATTATCTTCTACAATTAACGTCCTTACCATCACTAACCGATATAACGGTGATTCTCGGTTAAGCCGATTGAGCCAATTAGCTTCCTGTGTGACACCATTCGATACACCATTCTTGCGGCAGTCCGAAATACATAAGGTTATTCTAATCCAGTTTTTTTCAACACAGCTGTAAAAAATTTATACTCTCTCCTTCTGTGTTCGGCCTTGTGTTGAGCTTCATTTACTAGGTCCAATATCAGCTGGGCCTACCATCGATGGATCAAGCACCCAACACAGGAACGTGTGTTTACAAGGGAGCACTGGTGACAGCGAGCACGCCACAACCGCTGACCCGAGCTTATCGATGTCGATGGAAGCTGCACTAACCGATCAACCGACAAACGCGTGACCTTAAAACTGAACGTCCTCTGCGAACATCTCTCATGTTAAAGGCAGGTGTGAATTAGGTGTTAAAATGGTGAAGATTGGCCTAATGCACATCATTTGCTTGAAATCCTATCATATTAAGTGCCTTGAAATGAGGCCGATATAAACAAGACGGTAAGACAGCCCGCAAGCGTCGGTTTTGTTGTAGAGGATCCAGTGCTGTCCTAGTTGTTGGCTGTCTTATTATGCTACTGAAGGGGGGCGAATGACTAACAGAAATAGTCGGGCAACTTGTGTGCGCCAGCGTTACACCAATTAGCGTAAATGGACCTGCACTTCTAGGTGAGAAAGCACAAAGTCCCCATTCAGGCCGTAAAAGAGAGCCAGACGTCCTAACATTACCACAACGACTCAGTCTCTAACAGTACCAACTCCCTACACTATCTAACATAACTAAAACACTGCCTGCAGCTTAGATGCTACGATGTATCTGCAGTGTGTTACACCTAATAATTTATTTACTGTACAAAAGACTCTAAGCTGCCGTCAACCAGCCATAGTAAGGAACCAGGTAACACACGCATCTGTCGTCACCAAGCAAACACCGGCAATAGCACTGGTAACGTTCTTGGCCGGACTAGAGAAAACTGAAGTGTCGCAGCACGGGTGGCCGCCATAAATGCAGTTCACAACTTCACCAAATGCACCGGAAACTAAAGCTCCAAAACCAGTAGCCACCAAGCGCAACCATGCCGCCTTAAACTTTGTGTGGACTAATGTCCCCGGATCCAACTACAATGCAATTAAGGGTCGGCTGACAGACGATCGATAGCAGTGGTCCGTCTGTACGGCAATCTGTGTGCATGTTGATCCTGCGACATTAAAACGTATCTCGCGTAACCCAAATTCACTGTACTGAGGTTAACCACGGTTACTTCGGGAAACACAAACTCGGTGGATGAGGTAGACGCAGTTCTGTTGTCTGCGAATGGAGTCCGTAATGCCTTAAGTGGGGTGCACCTACTAGCTCTTGAAATCCCATGGATAGAACGCTCGGCGAGAAACAGAAAAATTAGATAAGCAAACTGTGATTGCTCACGGTGTTCCTGAGCTAACTTCCTCTTCTTTTTTTAGGATACTCAGGTACACTACCGAGAGCAATGGCACTACATCCGTGAGGCTTTCTTAAATATCCCGTGGCCACCTTGTTAACAAAGCTCCCAGTATAACCAAACTATAACGAGTGGGGTCCCGGCCTATTAAAACTGGTGTTACAATTAGGATTAACGGCACAGACCTTCTAGTGAATTGGACTAAGTTACCTAGCGGATTGCCAACATAAATTTGTCTAAACATAACAAGAACACAACCACCTTCTAAGGACAACTCAGTGAGCACGCAAATCTCATTGAAAATACTAAATTTAAGACCTAACTCGGTGGTCGGCTTCAACAGTAGCTGTAACAGCGGAAAGGACACAGCAGAGCACAAGCGACCAAGGGGATCCGGGGCATTAGATACTTGAATATCTACCAAATTCGTCTCAAGAGCCTGCAACCCATCCAGAAAACTTTTAGCCGCCGACCTCTCATCGGTTACGTAAGCTCACTTGCTTCATCTATCACATACAACACACCTTTGGTCTCCTCGAATCTCTTATGCATATATATGAATGCGCAAGTTCTACACAGCAAAATCAGCTGCATTAAGACTTTGGCACGCCTCAACAGCTTGGGACCTCATCGCTATCACGGAAACATGGTTGCGCTGGAAGATAACGATGCCGAACTCGAGCTAACAGCATGTCTCTTCTCCGAAATGATCGCGCCAGCAAAATTGGTGGGTAGCCCTCTACTTTCGCAACAACCTGGAGTGCAAACCCATACACGATTCGGAAACCGATGTACCTGACACAATTTAGTGCAGCTTCCGGCTGAGAGGGAAGGATCTTAGCCTGGTGGTTGTTGTTTACCGCCCACTATCGTCTACACCTGAGACGGGTTGCAACAGGAAGGCTGCATTGGGGCAGATGCTAAACAGGAAGTACAGTCACGTCCTAGTTGCCGGTGGTTTTTACCTAAAGGCTATAGAATCCCATACCACACCAGGAGAGTAAATCAAAGCAGTCCTGCAAGATCTTGCCTCAGACTTCCTGCTTTTTGGTCACGTCATTTTGCCCATCAGAAGCAACGGAAATAACAAACCATCCACATTGGACCGAATCTTTTCTAATGAAGAACTGATGATTGAGAGAGTGCTACTTCATACTCCTCTAGGCTGCAGTGCTCATGCGAGTTTGCATTTCATGTACACTTACTATGCTGAATATCTCGAGGACAGCATGCTAATGACTCGAATCCATACAAGGTATGACACCCTAACCCGACTCGTTGAAGCAACCGTCTGGAGTTTCCTAACCGAGGCTGCACTCGATATTAACTAAGTAATAAATAAATGGTGCATTTCTCGACATGGAAAGACACAGACCGATTACGTGATCTGATCATTTTGTACGACATAATCACATTATACAGAAAATTGTCTAAGGGTAACTATGTTTCCCCTGAAGTGTTGGGCGTTTGCTATAAATTAAAAGTACTGAAATAAAAGGCTGATGGTAAGAATAATTGTAAGAATAGTCATCAGTTCTAGTGAATTAATACAGCCATTCATGGAACCGTCCCACGGGGAACTACCTCTATGCAGGGTAGTCCCTCTTGAGGTTTCATCTGCACTTCCACGTCTCATCTTGCCATGTGCTGATAGGTTTTAAATCAAATAATACTCACTATTTTGCCTTGTTTAAGTAATTTATTTTTCAGTTGTTTTCTGGCTGCAAATATATACAAAATGCTGTCCCCACACTGGCACTTGTTGTTTGGGCCGCTGTTATAAACAAATAGGCCATCAATAAGTTGACTTTTTTGTTCTTGTCGTGTGCTCTTTTGCTGTCATCCCCTTTACGCAATATTTTTCGACAGCTGTATACTTCGAGGCCATCCCGACACACAGCCCGTTTGTTCATGCAGGTATTTCGAGTCCAGCACTTTTAAAAGGCGCTAGTGATTGTGTAGCACTTCGCCCTGCATAGGTGCACTAGATAGGTAAGGAGCTTCAGTCTGTCATCACAAGCGATCAGCCCAGGGGGGGCCACCAATTATAAAGTAGAGACACAAACAGGAAAATAAGTAGGTCTGGAAAGTCAGAACGGTAAAGATAAGAGGCGATAGATAATGGTTTAATTTAAGATGTACATAGGGATCATAGCAAACAAATAAACGACCGAAATATTCAGTTAAAGGAGAGTTCTCAGAGGAATAGTGCGATAGCTCCGACAGGTAGAGATGATCCAAAAGGAGAGCTTGTCTGCGCAAGTTTATTGTACATTGCTGTGCCGGATGCCTTGGATACCTAGTTTGTTTCCTCCAACGAAGAATAGTGGACCATTGGTAGGGTAAGTTACGTGCGAAGCACTGGGATAATAAAACTGCAACACCAATTGCCTGGGAACGTTTCGTCCGTTGGTTCAACACATTGTGTAGTTGAGCATCGGAGACCAAGCCTATTAGTTCGAGGAACATGGCGTCGCTCACACGCAGTAGAACACGCAAATGCATTGGGATGCGCAACGTGGCCCGGTATACCCACAAAACCGATCGGAGTCCGAGTACTTGAGAGGCTAACTTAGTCCACTGTAACTACTGTACCCAATTAGTGCGTGAGGCAAAAGTAGCTTAACAACATGCTTTAGCTGAGCTATTAACTTCAAGTCCTATGCTTCTGTACAAGCATCTGAAGAGCCTCTGCAAGGTGAAGAGTGGATTACCCACTCTTCAAACAACGTATGGTCTAACTCAGATTTCTAATAAGGAGTCGCACATTCTGCAGCAGCATGCTACACGGACGTTGCATTGCATCCCGTGGTCTCCTGTATCTTTGGTAGTTATGACGCTTCAATCAGGACTTACTCGTATAAAGTTTACGGCAGACACTGTGATGAGACAGCTGCCAACCATGCACCTGCATGCCTGTCCAGGAATTGAGGACATCCGCCCAAGGACACAAGTGGTGGCGGCTACCGTTGTAGCTGAACCTTTGGCGCGGATGTTCCAGCACTGCCTTGACGAGAGGAATGTTCCTGCAATTAGAAATACGGCATAATAACTACAATGTACAAAGGGAAAACGTTCCGGTTAATCTAATTATCGACTAGTGCCACTACTGCCGGTTATTTCAGAAATTATGGACGCTATCGTTGCTGGTCACTTTACTCAGCAGCGATACGGTTTTCGCCAGAATGGGTAATCCACAACCAACCTATTGCTGGTAAGAGACAGCTGGAAGGAGACGGTGGATGCTAGCGCAGAAGTTGATGTGGTATATCTTGGTTTCGCTAAAGCATTCGGTTGGTTGGACCATCGTATCCTTCCCACCAAATTCCAAACATGTGGCACTAAGGACCCCCTCCTTGGGTAAATCTGTAATTTTCTTTCGCACAGGCGTCTGGATGTGACGGTATGAGAACCCATGTCATACCCAATGCACGTACAATGCGGTGTGTCACAGTGTACGGTATTGCGGCTCCGTCTATTCTTGGACTTCATAACCGACCTAGTGAGCGAAATTAAGTCAAACTCTACGCCGATGAGCTCAAAGCTTGACAAGGGAGCAGGGCTCCAAAAGACCATGTCTAGCTTCAAATCAAACTTGACACGATTTAGGGATGATCGGTCCAAACTCGTCTTTTCTTCAACGTGACTAAATGTCCAGTGCGCCATTTTAGTCATCGATACAAGAACCAGGAATCAGAAAACGCAACACAGTTCCCTTGTAAAGTCTCTCAGTGTGTTGGTCCAGGAAGATCTCGGCTGTTCGAAGCAGTCCAAAAAGGCATCGAAAAAAGGGATCAAAACCTTGGGGCTTTTGCAGCGAGCCTTCGGGCAATTCCAATCGTCGCTTTTTTGCGAATACCTCCCGCTTACATACGCACTCATGTCGAACACGCAATTCAAGCATGGCACTTATGGCGAAAGCGAGATCTCACGTCTTTGGGGCTCGCACAACGTCGGGCGACCAGAAATGTCAAAGGGCTGCGCCACTTGTCATACGAGCGGCGTCTCAGAGTTCTTGGCATTTTCAGTAGATGTTATCACTGTTCACGTGTTGATCTAACCAGATTCTACCAAATAATAAACAACACTCAGCACCCCTGCCATCACCTATAGACGCTGAGCCAAAACAACAAAGTGAGCGGTTATCGTCTCAATTTGGCAGAAAAATATAGTCGGCTGGATGGTTGAAGAAACTGCTTCCAGCTGGTTGTTTGCCAAACAAGGAACACGAACTCAGAAGCTGCTCTTTCAGTCAAGGCGTTAACCGGGTTCAAAGCAAATGTCCACAGTGCGCTGGCCATATTACACCATATCATGTACGCCATATGACCCATACAAACGGCAGAAAAGCAAAAACAAACCCATCCACCTCCATTTTTACCCCGGAAATCACAGACGATGACCTTGTATGGTACACAAAACGGACGGAAATGCTGCAATTGGCAAATTCGCGATTGGTAGTTGTTCGATATTTCTTATTGCTATTTTTGCCTTTATTTTGTTTACGCCTAACCGGTCATACGGCAGGACATGTGAAGTTTCGGCTTCCTTTTCGCAGCAATATATCATTGACAATTGACCATCTCCATTTACTGAAAGTAACGACAGTTTCTGGGTTCTGCTGATCACCACAGCATCTGCAGCGCGGAACGGGCTTTCTGTGAGGAATAATAATTGACATCACTAGTTCTGTAGACTGTAAACATTCGGTGCTTGGTCGGGTTATCACGTACGGCCATGAACCTACTGCTGGGTGGTGGGCCTCCAGCAGCCATTTTTGAACTTGCTGTTGACTTTAACTCGGAAGTGCCAGAATTGTGCGTTCGCCAAGTCAAAGGAGCTATTAGAGAGCGAGCGGAACAGCAGCACACAGGCGAAGTTGCAAGAGTAATAGGTGAAGTCGAAATCCTTAGGGCTGAACTTAAATGCCCTATGGCTTAAGTTGTCGGGGAAATGGTATAGACTGGTACGCATGTTCGTGCGATCCACTGCGAGTTTTACAAATCTTATTATTATGTTTCATTACGACCTCCTATCTGCAGGAAGTGAGGGATTGATATCAAGCTTACGGTGGCCACTAATAGTTAGTGAGGCGTCCGATAGTTGTTACGTAGTTCAGTTTGCTTCTGCCTGTCGTCTCTCTCATTGTAATGACGTTTGGTCTTCCACCATTTTCAAACGCTTTAAAATCTTAGTAAACAAAATGAAATTTCACATTTGGATGAAGTGTTTAGCAAGCAGTACATTTTCAAACTGGGTATGTATGCGTAGTCGGATGCAAATGGACCGACAAGAGTGCAAGCCGCATGTGATGAGAAACACTTTCTGAGCTGTCTTTAATGGTAGCACATCCGGCATATTAAAAACCCCAGCATTGTGTGAACCCTGTGCAAAAGTTTGTACCTCAGTCGAAATTGCACAACGTGAGGTGCATTTTACTAATATTCGTTGACGATTCAGATAAGGCTGCTAGCCTTTGCAGTGGTTTCAACAAAGTTGTATATCCTTTAAAGAAATATCCGTACATGCAGTTTCAGCTAAGGATATACATCTTTAGGTGTCTTCCTCAGATCAGCAGAAGCCCAGATAAATTGTCCACAGGGCTTAAACTATTCAGGGTATTATCTTCACTGCTACTTCAAGTCGGTGCCTTCTAGGCTTCCAAATTAAAGTGGAGTTAACCTGGTTTTTAATATTTTTTCATTGAGCACGTCTTTGCTGTAGACATGCGCTTGAAACTAAATTTAATCTACACTGAGGCAAAATAAAATGGTCAGTGAAAATGGGTGCTAATTGTTTATCTCTAACTAGGAACTCCAAGATAATTAAGACTATGCCAAATTATGATTCCAGCAACTTGGCTGAATTAGTAAGCAACAAAAATATGCACCGCAGGAATCTATGTGCACCTTCTTCTTAGAGTCATAACCGCTGTTATTTTGGTAACGTAAGCGTTTCACCTATGCCGAGCGCGTTGCGGTGTCTTCGGTCACGGTTTCGTGGTCTCAGTGACACACCGGTTAGCAGTCGGGTCAATACGAGCGTTTATGTTTTCCATTGACAGGTCACAAACAGGTGCACTGAATGCTGAGTCCTTGAAAAGACGCGCAGGCTATCGAACTGGTTAGAAAGTCTGCGTAGCCTGGGTACTAACCGTTTTTGATTGGTGAGTTAGCGTCAAAGGATTACAGCCCCAATGGCTGCGACGCGAAATATACGCCATGTAGAACAATCAACCTCATCAACCCAGACCCCTTTTTCGAGGAAAACCAAAGACGGTGACATTTTAGGTTGCATAAAACCATGTGTGAAGTATTCAGACAAATAAAAGCCAGCTCGACAAGTCTACTCTTTCCAAGCACACTGTTTATAGCTGTTTTCCCTTTCATTTAAAACTGCCACTCACCATCCTGCTCGACATGTTAAGCCTAGGCTATTTTATCCTCAACAAACCGTTAACCTCTGACAGAAATAGAAAAATTAGTACTATCTCTGTAACACCGCCGCCGTTGTAAATGACAACGGGGTCGTTCAAGAGCTTTTTAATTATTCCTTCAGGTAGAGCAATGGAGCGATGGTTTATGACGGGTATGAAAGCGAATGTTTGTCAAGTCCCGTTAAATGGTTGGTGTGAAAATAACAAGATAAAAAATGCAGTGGCAGTAAAAGAAAACGTGAGCTACGTGACTCACCATGGGATTTTGAGAGGCACATGTGCGAGTGTGCCTGCCTAAGACTGAGAAGCGTGATGACACCTTCAACTGTTTTTTCTGCCAGTATCTGCTGGCTATAGGCTATGTCACGTAACGTAAATGTGTCGGGACATGGTCACGATGCTTTATGTCTAGGGATAAGGTTGGGATTTAATTAAATGCGCCAGAAGGGTGTTAAAGGACGATGACAGTGGGATGTAGAAAAAGTTTCGTCGACATTCCAGTCTGCAGTGCTGCGAGACAACTTAAACTGTTGAACCCTTGGAGATGGGTTTGGAGTGAGATTTAAAAGAGAGTGGCATATGTGGTTGGGATTTCTTTAGCAACTTATACACTATTATAAGATCTCACCGTAGACGCCGATAACTTCCACTGTACATCTTTTATGTTTTGCTGCATGAGTGGACATGGAAAGCTGCGTTGTGCCGTATTGAATGCGGCGTGGTGGTGCTTCTGTCAGGATTGTCACGCGTGGATAGCGAATTCGGCGCTAAGCATTTTCGGAAAGACTGAAACTTCAAACCTCCAGAACGTTCTACGGAGAAGGCGGAACTACCTTATTTGATGACTTTTAGGTCTGCCTCAAACAACAAAGTTCATATTGCACCAGCACGCTGAGCTCACACTCATGAGATGTCCCTTGCATAATCTGTGACCGTAGCCGTTAGTTGTGAGTAATCTGATAGCGTATGCTCAGGACGCTGCAATTCATGGAGCTGAAATAGAACATGTTCTTGATGGACCATGTTTACGCTTTATCCAAGTCAGCTTGTCTGGCTGTGTGATCTTCCTCTGTAGTGGCAGAACGCCACCTTTCGACCGTCGGCGAATAGTAGACAGTGCGAAGATAACACTCTCGTGGGGTCTCTTTTGAAGCTCAGGAACAGGCGGGGCTCGACTATCGATTCCAGAGGGTCGTGTTCAAATAATTTGCGTTGTTTTTGCCCTCGATTCGTGTATCCCATTCACACTTCTATTTAGCACAGGTTGGCCTATCATGTGCTCTTGCATTTGATTGATTGCAATTCGAACTTATATCGATTTAATTGTGCTGCTCCAGTATGATGACAGTTTCCTCCATACATACGTTTCGGTGCTGCTTTGGTCTACTGCCTTTTTGGGATACAACTAATTGGCGTCGCGTGCTACCGATGTCTTTGCATTCTACTGCCACTTCACCGTTCTGGATTTAATCTACAGTTACCCCAAATGCGGAATGCTGGAAGACTGGAAAATTAGTTTTTCAGATTATGTTTCTGTGCTACTAGTTCCCATTCCATCTGTGACGCTGAAAACGGAGGATACTTTAAAGCTTTTGCCTTTGCACCTCGGCTCAGCGTGTCGAGGTATATTTCATGCTCTAACTTTGCGGGATAAACCCAACGTTGACAGAGGCCTTATCGGCCCTTGATAAGCTTTGTGATGTTTTAGCAAACACCTATACTTCTCGGTACAAGCATCTGGTGAATCATTGGATGCATTCCTTTCCCGTCTTGTTTGTTCTGTTCGAAAGTGTGACTACAATGGAATTTCCAAGAAAAAAGGTGGAAGTAACTATGCTAATGCAACAACCAATTTCTGGCCTCACGTATTCTCGGATCAGAGAGTCTCTTAATAGAGAACGCCGAAAAGCTTCCGTGGGACAGGGACTGTGATGTGGCTTGCGCGAAGGTCGCAGTCACGGAACGAAACAAACTTTTCCTCTCTAACACAGGTGCTACTGAAATTGAGCGTTTAGATTCTACTCGCTCTCTGGTGCGATCCTCAGTTAAAAATAAGTGGTACCGTTGTGGAAATGCTGAACAGCATGCAAATGAAAATTTATGTCCTGCAAAGAGTGTTATCTGCCGGAATTACAGTAAGGCCGGTCATTATGCTCGGGTTTGTCGTTCCCGTGCCATTTTCTTAGTTGATTTTGCGAATGACTTCAGAGCTTGTCCTGTCACCACTGCACAATCTATGTATGTTGTTAATGAATGCGAACATCTACTTCCGTCTCCAACTGAAGAAACCAAACTGCCTTCGCCAGATATTGGTCGTGGGTTTTTGAACTTAGAAACAGAACCATTTGTCTAGGCATGGAACTAGATTCTGCGTCACCAATCAGTTGTGCCATATTGTTTTTACAAACAGCATTTTGGTCAACTAACTGTACATCCTTCCGCTTACATTTTCAGTAGCTACTGCAGTGGTGATGTCCATATACTCGGTTTTTTTACGGTTTAAGTGTTTCTTATAAAGAGCAGGGAGCCTGAGCTGAAGTCTACGTCAGTAAAACTGATAGTAAGCCTCTATGGGGACGTAATGCCATGGTTTAATTGAAAGTATCACCATGCGGCAGCCGGATGACCATTGCCAGTGTCAACATTCATTCGTTACGCTCGTTACCCAAATCTCTTTCTTCCGGATATTTAAAGAGTCCCAAAAGCAATGCACCACACTCGGTTGAGCGTGGATTAAAACCGTTCAGCATTTCACAATCTAGGCTTCTGCCTCTGGTCAAGCGAGAAGCATTGTCGCAAGCTTTGAAGAATATGGTCATGGAAGACTCGATAGAACCCATACAGTGTTGTGAATGGGTTCATCCACTATTGGCCGTTCAAAAGAAAGATGGCTCTATTCGTATATGAACCGAACTTCGAGCGCTTAATCGACATTTACTTGTGGATAAGTTCCCTCTGTCTGTTATTGACGGCTTGATGGGTAGGCTTTCAAACGCCAAACTTTTCTCAAAGCTGGATATTCGCAGTGCATACTACCATATGCCACTGACTCCAGATTGCCGAAATTTGACTGCTTTCCTCATGCAAGACAGTTTGTATCAATACAATGGGCTACCACTGTAACTAAGTATTGGCCTAGCAGCTTAGCAGAAATTCATCACCCTATCGTTACCTGATCTCAAAAGCTGTGTTTTGGATGTGGATGCTATTTGTGTCTCTGGTCGTAACCCAACCGAACATCAGGAAAACATTCATAATGTGCTATGTAGGCTAAATGAACTAACTCTTCGCCTGAATACTAGCAAATGCCAATTCGCTGTAATGGAGGTCGAGTTTATTTGACATGCTATTTCTACCTCGGGTATTAAACCTAATGTGCAGGACGCCAGAATCATTTTCGATTGTCAAAAACCATGCAATGTTAAACAGATGAAGCATTTCTTGGGTTTATGTTCTTATTACCTTTGACATAGGCCGAACATTGCGACTAGCGCCGAGCCGATACTTAGGTTGACTCGCCAAAACCAGGAGGTTCTTTTGACCATTGAACAAGACAATGCGTACATGACCAAACTAGCCATGATTAAATCTGCTCCCACCGTAGCTATCTTCAATGAACAATGTCTAACGTTTGTTTCAACCGATGCTTCAGATGTTGACTTGGGTGCAGTTCTGTCCCAGCTGCTCGATGACGAGGAAAAAGTGATTGCGTACGCATCGCGTACCTTGTCTGATACTGAAAGAAATTATTCCACTAGCGAGAAGGATGCCCTTTCATGCGTCTGGGCATGTGAGAAATGGCACTTTTATTTATTCGGAAGGCGATTCAATTTGCGCACCGCTCACTTTGCTCTTACAACGTTACTAAGTCGCGATAACAAAAGCTGAAAGGCGGTAGGCTTGAGTCGCTTGTACTCATGTTAATTGAACTATGATTATGAAATAAAATACGTGCCAGGAGGCTTTAACCAACTTGCAGATGCCTTGTCGAGACTCCCAATGTCCAAGGAAGGGGAAAACGAGGGCTTAGAGGAGGCAAAAATGATATCGCAGCTCTCAGAGGGAACACCTACAATAACATTTGACTTGATACGAGAGCACACTGACAAAGACCCTGTCCTAGAGAAGCTGCGGGAGTACATATTCACTTCATGGCCCAGTCGTACCAAGATCCAACCTGAGTTACTTCTATCCCATACCTTGCGGAATGAGCTTTCTACTGTGAGCAATTGCGTTAATAGAGGCGAGCTGTTTGTGGTCCCTGCAAGCCTTATTCTTATGGTGGTTGCATGTGCGCATGAAGGTCATCCAGGGATTGTGCGAACAAAAGCTCAGATATGACAATAATATTGGTGGCCGAAGTTGAATTCCAGCGTCGAGACAGTTATTCGGGAATGTTAAGCCTGCCATTAATCCGATAAGAGTGCGAGGCCCCTGAATGCTCCAGTCCAACCCATCGTGTATCCAGTGATGCCATGGGCAAAAATTGCCATCGATATTATGGGCCCGTTTGCTAATGCACCTCCGCAGAAGCGAAACTTACTAGTGGCTACATGTTTCTACAGCAAATAGCCATAGGCTATTCTATGCGGAGACGTAACTACAGCCACCATCATAAAATGGCTCACCTGTTTGTTTGTAGGGTACGATTTGCCAGGAGAAATAGTCACTGAAAACGTCCCACAGTTTCGAAGTAACGAGTATGCTGAATTCCTAAAGCGCAATGGTATCAGACACACGAGGACTGTACCTTATGATCCTGCAGCGAATGCACTCTTCGAACGACTTAATCGTACTTTGAAAGAATCTCTACAAGTTATTCGGCTTTCTGGAGAATCCTGGGATGATGCGTTGGTGTCTGCATTGAAGGTATACGGAACCATTCCACATACTGCAACGGCAAGTCCCCTCGAAACTAATGCTGAGGCTAACAGTTCGAACTCGATTAAATGCAGACATTACATCCGAAGAAACCGCCGAGCATATCGAATATGAAAGACAGGCTGTTTACCAGGCTAAATATAGACGCGTTGGGAAATAGTATCCTCCAAGGACGTTTGTTCATCTGAGACTACCCAATTCCCGAAAAGGAAGTAATGTATTCGGCTCGCCGAACCGTGTGGAATCTGTGTGCACGTCAGGAGCTTACAAGTTGGCTGATTGGACAATGGTGAATGCAAGGCGGCTGCATACAGCGGTTTTCCAACATGCTATTGAACAGACGAACACACCTACAACACAGCGCTCGGTACAAACTAATACAAAGTTACGACGTTCCTGTCGGATACGCCGCCCGGTCTAACGATGTGCTTTAACGGATAACACCACCTGACATTAAATTAGATCGTTCATGGATATGTAGTGCCTATATTTTCACGAACAGAGGAGGGGAAAATGTCGTGTTCAAATACTTTGCTTTGTGTTTCTCCCGGTTACCACGCTGAGGTCCAAACACAATGAGACATGATGAGATTGAAACTCGGCCAATTTAGTAAGAAAGCCTTGCACATTTTTATACAAAACCGGAAGGTAACGGATCCAGGGGACTTATCTGAACATACAAACGTTTCCCTCTAATTTACGTCGACCCTTGTGGGGCCGGAGGACAAGCTTTTTGGATGTAGTTCTGACCCGTTCCCAAGAATCGTTCCGGTCAT